CTATATTTGGATTGTTCTACCATCATGCTCTGTAATTCTCTAAAAATTTAAAGGCAAATGAGAAAATTTCTTACCGCAAAAAATTATTTTTAAATATTTTTAAAAATTTTCATAAAATCTTTACAGTTTTGCTAAACCGGTTAATATTTTCTGATTTTTATTAAATTATGTTAATTATACTATATACCTATTTTTAAATTCTCTTTTTTTAACAAACAAAATTCTCTGTGATTTATTTGAATTTAGTTTCTGTAATTAAAATTAGATTTTGCTTTATTGAATCTGTATTTTAAAAAAACTTCACCTTGCTGAATGTATGAAAGAATTAACCATTTATTTTCAAATTTATTTTAATTTTATTATTTAAAAACAATTTATTTATTTCAATAAACAAAAATAATTTATTTTTTTTTTGAACTTATAAAAACCTGTCTTTATTTTAAAATTTTTATTTAAACCGAAATATAAATTTGGTAAAAAATAATTTAAACTTTAATTAATTAATAAATAATAATTTTTAAATTTTAATATAAATAAGTAGGAATATTAACCTTAAATGGTTCATTAAATAAATTTTTTTAAATTAATTAAATGAATTTTTTTCTTTTATTTTTGTTAATTAATTTTTGTTATTTCACAAATGGTGAAAAAGCAACAGTTGAACAATGCGACACTGCGATGGGATATCGTGTAGATAATTCCTGCATGTATGTTAATCTTAGTCGGAATTTTTTATTTTTCATGCTTTCTCAAACTTTTTTAAAGATACATAATAAATTCCAGGTGCAAAACTGAATATACTAAATGTCTAATATCATTAATATCTGAAGGAAAGTGTACAAAAAAGGGGTTTCCTACTAAACTTATTGAAAAACCTTGCTCTAATGTGCATTCAAAATGTTCTTTAACGAAAAATGAATGTGAAATTGGAATCTGTGGATGCTTTGAGTAGGGGGTTTTACTTTTTATTTCTTTAAATATGTATAAATTCAATGTGTTATTCAATGTTAAGATAAGCTCAAAAATGTGTTTCCAAGTTGGAAACATCCTAATGAATACTTTTGCATATTTAGTTCATCTCGTGCTGATTTGCAATCGATGCATATTTATTTTGACAGCTGCGCCTCAAAATGTCCTACCCTTAAAATGTCCTGATGAACAAAAACCCTCAAAATGTCCTAATGAATAAAAACCCTTAAAATGTCCTCCCCTAAAATGTCCTACCCAAAAAATGTCCTACCCCATTCCTTTTTTGGAATCCGGGTAATTTTAATTTAAAATACGGTAATAAGGTTACCGGAAAACCCGAAAAATGTTTTCCGAAAATCCGGAAAATGGTTTCCGGACATTTTCGGGGTTTTTGTTTATTAGGACATTTTTTGGGTAGAACATTTTAAGGGAGGACATTTTGAGGGTTTTTGTTCATCAGGACATTTTAAGGGTAGGACATTTTAAGGGCGCGCCATTTTGACCGATATACTGCATAATTGTAAAAATCTCTTGGCATTCTATTTTGAAATCCAAAGTCAATTTCAAAATCTAAAAATTAAAAAGTCAACTCAATTTTTTTTGAAAAAATTTTTTTTCAAAAAAATTGAGTTGAGGCCTCGTGCAAAATGTGTTTTTATGTTTTAATACTACTTTAATAATGTAAAAAACATATGTATACATATGTATATATTTTAAAATTAAATTAAAGTACGGCTGTTGATTGTTTGATCCAAAATAAATGTGAATCTAAAAAATCGAATGGCAGTTCAACATCAGTTAAACGTATAAAACAAAAATTTTTTATTTTTTTATGTTTTAAATATAACTATTTAGGTGTTAGAGCATCTGATACAATTTTTGGTTTTAACAATTTATATGATGCAAATTTTGAAAGAATTGAATAAAAGAAAGTTTGAATAAATTGCTGAATTTTATTTTTAGAGTAAAGAAGTCTTTTAATAATTAATGCTAAAAAGTTTAATAAGAAATTTTATAAATTTTATTATTTCTAAAATACATTTAAAATAAACTCAATATTTTTCTATTTTTCTTGCAATATTTTGGTGTTTTTCTTAAAATTTTTCAGCACTAAAAAAGGATCCCATTTCAATAATTAAAAATTTTTTTTTCAATATTTTAAATCCGCAAAAGTCAATCCGGAATTGTCATCCGCGTTTTGTCGTCCACAATTTTTGCGCTGCAGGCGAAGATCTTTAGATTTTTTGAAGAGCCAAAGTCAAATTTTTTCCATTTCTTTCAAAAAAGTTCGGCTCTTGTCCAGTTCATGCGTCCCATAAAAATTTATGCGTCCCATGAAAATTTATGAGTCCCAAAAATAGTCTATGCGTCCCATAAACATTTATGCGTCCCAAAAATAATTTATGCGTCCCATAAAAAGTTATGCGTCCCATGAAATAAATTGAAAAATCTTTTGATAATCAATATACTGCTCTTTGTTAATCAAATACGGTATTTCCTAAAGTAATACTCCCCTCTGAATTAGTACTCCCCCTTAAATAATACTCCCTTTTGGAGGAGGGTTGAAAAATAGTACTCCCCCTGAATTAGTACTCCCCCTAAAAATAGTGCTCACCCCTGAATTAGTACTCCCCCTAAAAATAGTACTCACCCCTAAAATATTTTTCCCCTATATTTGAAAAAATAATAGGAGACTCATTGAATTATCTTATTTATTCTAAGTAGTGTTGTCGGTTCACTTGATTCTTCGATAAACAAAACCGAACAGCTTTCGGTTAACCAAAATTTTAACCTAAAATTTTTCGAGTATTAAAGAGATATAATCCGATTAATTGGTGGGCAAAAGTGAATTTTGGGGATATAAAGGGATCAATATCGTATGATAAAATGGGTTCTGGATTGATCAACGTTAAAAATTTTACCGTTTCCTAACTCACACATGGGTGCCCAAATCCTGCACTTAGCCTAAGGACATTACAGAAGTTGATTTTTTTTTCTAAATTTTTTTTTCTTTCGCCCTTTATAGTAATTGACGTTACACTAACAAAGATTTCCTTACATAATAAATACTTGTTGAAAATATTAATTCAACATCGATAGAATAAAATGTATCGTCAGAATTCGATTTTTATGTCAATTTGTCAATTTTTTTATGTTAACAATACAAAAATTATTCTAATAATTGATATGGAAAACTCAAGTTCGGAAAAGGAAGACGTATACGTTAAAAATTTTACCGTTTCCTAACTCACACATGGGTGCCCAAATCCTGCACTTAGCCTAAGGACATTACAGAAGTTGATTCATTTTATAAGGCCTTAAGAGAACAAATTGATATTTTATACTTAAAACTAACTCATCGATCTATCAAAAACCAAAAATGAGAACAATCGCACATATTGGAGCCCAAATTATACATTCCACCCTAACACTCCTTCCATGAATTAACAATATCAATTAATGGTACTTTATTGATATGCTGTCCCCGCTATTTTGAGTTTATGACTTTTATTATGATGTACAAAATAGTCAGACTTCCTTCCTCAATTTCTTTCTATTTCCCTTTGGCATATTCAAATTGAAAGGAGAGGTTTTAATGAGATATAAAGGATTTGGCGCGATTAAGGAAGTATCTGGGGATGATGTCGCTTACTAGTTAACTTTTATTAAAGTTTGCTTAGAGGTTTAGATTTGTTGAATTATTTATTCAACATCCAAAAATACTTCACAATTGGCAACAAAACTACTCAGTGTTTTTTCCAGACGGATTAATAAATTGAAAATTAATCTAATAATTTATATTTTGGTGGCATAAAATAATTATTTGCTATTCTGTTCGAATAACTTGTACATAATAACCCCAAAGCAAAAATAAGCAAAAAAAGTTTGTTCTGACATTTTGCTAGCTCCTGAAGCTATACTTAATGATACATGTACAGTCGTGGAAAAAAGTATGGAAGCGCTAGAAAAAGTTTTTTAAATTCTTAATTTTTTATTCAAAAAATACGTTCTATATAGCAATCGAAAGCTCTATTCGTATCTCAGTTGACATGTTTCTGCATTTTTCATGAAATTCAAAATTGGCCGAGATAATCCGGATCTACCGGATCAAATCCCATTTTTTCGGAAAAAATTTTCGGAAGAAATTTAACAAACTCATTTGATATAGCATATTTTTCTGAGTATTTTCCACAAAACCGCTTAGAAATATCTTTTTCCGGAACAGAGATACGATTTTTTGAAAATCGTATTTTTCGTCAATTTTTGCAAAAAATTCGATTTTTAAGGGAAAAATACGATTTTCAAAAAATCATATCTCTGTTCCGGAAAAAGATATTTCTAAGCGGTTTTTGGAAAATACTCAGAAAAATATGCTTTATCATTTGGGTTTGTTAAATTTCTTCCGAAAATTTTTTCCGAAAAAATGGGATTTGATCCGGTAGATCCGGATTATCTCGGCCAATTTTCATTTTCATGAAAAATGCAGAAACATGTCAACTGAGATACGAATAGAGCTTTCGATTGCTATATAGAACGTATTTTTTGAATAAAAAATTAAGAATTAAATAAAATTTTTCTTGTGCTTCCATACTTTTTTCCACGACTGTATTTTTAAATTCTCTTTTTTACCAAACAAAATTCTTTCTGATTTATTTAATTTAGTTTTTGTGATTAAAATTATATTTTGCTTTATTGAATCTGTATTTAAAAAAAAAACTTTACCTTTCTGAAAGAAAGTATCAAACATTTATTTTCAAATGTATGTATATTTTAATGTTAATATTTAAAAACAATTTATCTACTAATTATTTCATAAACAAAAATAATTTATTTTTTTTTGAACTTTTAAAACCTGTCTTTATTTTAAAATTTTTTATTTAAACCGAAACATAAATTTGATAAAAAAAATAATTTAAATTTTGATTAATTAATGGATAATAATTTTTAATTTTATTATAAATAAATAAGAATATTAATTTTAAAGGGTTCACTAAATAAAAAGAAATATTTTCTTAATTAAAAATAATTAAATGAATTATTTTCTTTTATTTCCATTTTTGTTAATTAATTTTTGTTATTTCACAAATGGTGAAAAAGCAACAGTTGCACAATGCGAAACTGTGGTTGAATATTATGTAATAAAAGATGACTGCGTGTATGTTAATTATATTTATGTAGTTGTTAATTTAGAGATTTTAATTAATAACATTTTATTTTTAAAATCACAGATCAGAATTTGTACATATTTTTCAAGCTTTCTTAAACTTTTTTAAAAATAATAAATTTCAGCTGCACAAATGATTTTAGTAAATGTCTAACATCAATAGTAAATCAAGGAAAGTGTACAAAAGAGGATTTTCCCGCTAATTTAACTGAAACAACCTTGTGTACTAAAATGTATTCGAAATGTTCGTTAACGGAAAATGAATGTGATATTTGTGGATGTTTTGAGTAGGGGGTTTTACTTTTTCTTTAATTATTAATAGGGCCGGGGAAGCATGGAAATGCATGTTTTGTATGCGGATATTTCATGTTGAGATAAACACAAAAGTAGTGTTTCTAATCTGGTTCGAGCACGTAGGACATATTTGCATATCGATGCATATTTTTGTTGATATTCTGTATATTTGTGAAAAAATTTGTGCATACATATCTTGGCATTTTGAGAAATTTGTAGTTTAAAAAATATTTTTGCAAAATACAAGTTTTCAAAAAAATTTTTGAAAAAATCTCGTCGAAGCCATGATCTCGTGCAAAATATGTTTTAATATGTTTTAATACTACTTTAATAATATACAAATATACTATATACATATATACTAAATTAAAGTTTGTCCATTGATTGTTTGATCCAAGATAAATGTGAAAAATTTGTGAGCAGTTCAACATCATCAGATAAACGTATATTTTAATAAAAAATATTTTTTAATAATTCTAATTTTAAATTTAAATATTTAGGTGTTCGAGCATCTGATACAATTTTAGGTCTTAACAATTTATTAAATGAACATTTTGAAAAGAATTGAATGAAGAAAATTTATTATTATAATTATATGTATTTTTAGATTAAAAAAGTTGTAAAAATTATTGTTTTGTCAATTAGAAATTTTAACGATTCTATTATTTTTTATTTTAAAGTTTAACTCAATATTTTTCATACTTTTTCAATTTTTCAGTATCAAATATCGGTAAAACCTCTTTAACATTGACCGGTAGGGTAACTGTACCGGCATCTATGCCGAACACTGCATAATTGTCTAAACTCTTTGTAAAATGGTGTCTGGATTAAACATCAAATATCCAACTTTTATCTTAACCATTCTAATAAAAAAATTTTTGAACAAATTATCCTTAATATTTGTTTTTGATTCCGGTTCAGAATTTCTGTAAATAAATCTCTTTAAATCCTTAATAACCCTCTAATCGCTGCTATCCTTTAAAACAAGCCTTAATCCCTTAAATCCCCTTATATCCCCAGATCGCTGGCAGCGGATTTTAAAAATAATTTTCTGCGGCTGCGGAAAATCTTCTTTTTTTGGTAGCCCTGGCCCTGGTAGATATACTAGTGGTGACCTTATAATAGAGGGTGTGTTTTTATTGTATAGTGGTGTTCTATTAAAGAATTATATAAAAATGCTTATTGAAAAAAATAATATCTATTTCAGTCAACAAAAACAATTAACTTACATATTTACTTCTTATTAAATTAAAGAAAGCAAATATTTAAGTTTACTTTAATTTATCAGTTTGAAACAATATTTAAAAATTTAAATCAAACTGCCTAACTGGTTTTTATTTTAATTTTTTGTTTAAAATTAAATAATTAAAATTTAAGTATTTTTAATATTTTTAACCAAATTTGATAGAAAAATAAATTAAATTTTGATTGATTAATAAATAATTGTTTTATTTTGTTATAAATAAGAAAGAATAATTAGTTTTGAAAGTTTATTAAATAAAAAAAATATTTCTTTAATTAAATAAAAAATAATTAATTAAATGAATTTTTTTCTTTTATTTCCATTTTTGTTAATTAATTTTTATTATTTCACAAACGGTGAAAAAGCGACAGTTGCACAATGCGAAACTGTGATGGAATATCGTGCAGATGATCACTGCGTGTATGTTATTAAATTAATTTAGAGATGTTTAATTAATTCTAAACATTTTTAATTAAAAATCACAAAAATAATTTATATTTTTCTTGCCTTTTCTTCTTAAACGCATAGATCAGAGTCTGTAAATTTTATAATTTCTCAGCCTTTTTTAAATTAAAATTCACTAAACTACATATTTTAATAATAAATTCCAGATGCTGGACTGATGTTACTGAATGTATAGACTCGTTCGCAGTTAAAAGAGCATGTACAAAAGAAACTTATCCGAAACATTTTTTTGATGAAGCGTGTGATAAAATATATTCTAAATGCTCTTCAACGGAAAATGATTGTGAAATTGTTGTTTGTGCATGTTTTGAGTAAGAGTTTCAATATTTATTTTTTAAAGATTTTAGTGTCATTCGACGCAGCTCGAAGAGCTCTTTCGAATGAGGTATCATTTGTATTTTCTAATTTTTACCTGTGGTTTTTCAATTTTCCGGGACAATAACTCGGTCCAGAATTATTTCCTAAAGTAGTGAGTTCGACTCAGCTCGTCGAGACGAATCGAACTCCGGATCTTCAACTAGAAACATTAGTATTGGGGTTGGAAAAAACAAAAACAATATCCCGCCTATCCCTTCAAATCCAAAATCCTTAATATCCCTCTAAATCACTGAAATCCCTTGAACTAGCCCTAAATCCCTATAAATCGGTTCGGTTTCGGTTAACCGAAGAATTTGGTGGAGTCAACAACCCTATTATTGATACAACTTAACAGTTGATTACATTATCAATATAATTGATCTGCCCCTTATTTATGAAAAAAAAAATTTTCTATTAAAATAGCTAAAAAAATTTGGAACTGGAACCGCCAAAATTAAAAAAGCAGTTCCAGAACAGTAACCGGTTCCACAGAAATTTCGGAACTTCTGCATCACTGATCTAAACTGGAGTTTTAAAACATTTTTGAAAAATATTTTTGTACTACTCTGATAATATATAAATGTAAAATTAAAGAATGTTTGTTGATTGTTTGGTCCAAAATAAATGCGGAAATATAACAAGATTGCTCGACAGTCCTTTATCAGATAAACGTATATTTTGTTAAAAAATATTTTTATTTTTTTGATGTTTTAAATTTAAATATTTAGGTGTTCGAGCATCTGATACAATTTTTGGTCTTAGCAATTTATTTAATGAACATTTTGAAAAAATTGGATAAAAAGAGTTTGGATAGATTACTTAATTATATTTTTTATATTTTTAAATTAATGAAGTCTTTTAATAATTACTGCTAAAAAGTTCAGATAGAAATTTTATCAATTTTATTATTTCTTAAATATTTAACTTCAAAATAAACTAGGGTTGCGCGAGGTCGAGGCCTCGCCGATGCCGAGGTCATCGGCCATTTTCCAATCTCGGTCTCGGTTCAACCGGTCTTCGGTCTCGGAGCTTCGGTCTCGGTCCTCGCCAAGAACCTCGCCGAGGAATGAGGCTAAATATACACCCCTAAGAATTGCCTTTTTTCAAAGAAATAGAAGAAATCTGTCTCTCTCTTCCAAAATTCTCAAAATTTTCGCCTGCGGCCCTGGAAAAGGAGAAATTCTAATGACTGGTCTTCCAAACCAGAGGTTTACCAACTCTATTTTAATAGGTTTGTCGACCAACTTAATTTCAACCCAAGCGTTGAACTTGATTCCGTTTTAGAATCTCTCTTGTTATCCTGGTATTAAAACATTTCCACATACCGAAGAATATCTGATTACGTTTATTCATGATGTTCTAGTTGGATTGCTGATCTGATTAATTGAATTAAGAAAATCAGAAAAATGCGTGGTTGGAGGGATCCCCCCCCCAGTCTTTACTTTTAAGATATGTAGTTAACTTTAACTAATTTAATCAAAAATTATTTTAGATGATCTTTTACACAATAAATAAATATTCCAAATAATTCTCTTGTACATAATTTACAAGAGTTTTACCTCTTTTAAAAGAAAAAAGAACAAATAAAAGCACACGCTTTTGGAAGGTGGACATTTCCTGTTTTTTTTTCTTTTGTTTATTTTTTGTTCTCTCGGCCTATTATTTTTTGTATTTTATAATATTTCCTCTTCTAGTACACAATACGTGATTGTAATTACAAAAAGACTGGTCCAAATATTTGGATCAGGCAAAAAATATGAAACATTATTCAACCATTTAATGTTATTTTCAATTTATCCGAATAATTTTCACATTTAAAATAAAGTTTTAAATCAGAAGCTTGGCAAGCAATGGTTTTCCATTGTTAGTAATATGATTTTATGGCAATGTCCTTTTTAAAAAAAATTGAGACCTTAAAATTCCACTAAACAAGTCTTAAAATTTTTGTAATTGAATTCATGTACGTTCAACCTTTTGAAAAATTATCATGATATATGTACGTGTCACAGATTTGCGAATTTGCCTAGTTATAATATAATTACAATATTATTTTATAATAAAACTAAAAATAATATTTTTTAATTTTATTTTTTTAAATGATTAAAATATTTTTTAACTTCAAATGCCAGTGTAATTTTTTTTATTTTGTTTCAAATTTAATTTAATATTTAATTACTAATTTTAAAAAACATTTTTGTTCTGCCATGTTTTTAGATCTTAAATTGGGCTTTTCGAGCAAAAAAAATTTTAAAAATCGATGAAATTTCAAGTTATTTATTGAATCCACTTATTGTGATTGTAAAAACATTTTTAAAAATTATTTTTAAAATAATTCCAGAAATAACAAGCACCCAATTCTTATTTTTATTTTTTACTTTATCCGATTATTAAGCCAATATACATAACTAACAAAAAAGTTTGTTTTCCTCTGTTTATCAAAAATTAAGAGGATAATATTAAATATTATATTTAAATCAAGCTTAAAGCTTAAGTCAATGTCGTACGTGTTCGTTCTATTAAATATATTTTGTTTGCAAGAAGAGGGGAAAAGTGTATACAATAGGGAGTGACTGGAAACTACTTAATTTTTTCTTGTTTACTGAGAGAAATAAAATAAAAAATAATCTGTCAAATAATTCAATGCTTTTGATCAAAACAATAACTATATAAAACTTACAATATTTTTTTACCATTTGCATTAGTTATTAGTTTACCAAATAGCTGGCTTAAATTCAATCTTCTAATTGCTAGAGCATTGATAATGAACATAAAGTAAGATTGAGCTACATGTCGCGTATTCAACCACCATTATTAATATCTCTTACTTTGATAACTGCTAGCTAGCTGTATCTCCCTTCTTCTTTACAATAATAGAGTTCCCTTCCTATCCATATACGTCCTATCTAGAATTTTTTTTGTACAAATAAACAATAATGGTGTAACTAATCTTGACTAGAGCCAAAAAGCTTATATTTACAAAACTTGCTCGAAGGCCAAAAACTTTTGTTTAATTTTTTTATTTTATAAAATATTTAAGGGAATTATGTCATTATTCTTTTTAATTGTATTTTTATTCACCTCAATTAATCAACTACTAATTAGAGCCCAGCAACAAAATTTAGCTGTCCATGAATTACCCCTTCCAACTCCCATAATTTTGGAAGATGTTAATTTAACTTCAACATCTTTCCCAAACTCTCTAAATTCAACCTCAAGTCTAGGCACAACCGCCCCATTAACCTCTCAATTAGCCAAACCTCCTTCTGATGCCGAGAGAATAAATAGAGAAACTGGAACAACAATGGCAGGAATTCATCAACAATTAGATAATCAAAGTAATAGTGAAAAGACAAAAATAGATTCAGAAAAGAATTTAACGTCTGGAAATGTTGCTAGACGCTCGCCAGATTCATCTACAAATTATGAAAATAAACATAGACACAGTTTGAAACCGGAAACTAAAGGTAGATAAACACTTAATCATGAAAAATCGTAGAATTGAGGGTACAGTTATTGTTCCGTTTTACAAAAACATTGGTCAAACAAAATTCTAAGTCTCATATCTCAAGGCTAAGGTTATCTAATATCAGGGCGTACAAGTCAATTTTCGTATTTTTAACTTTGTCACTTGTCTTCGTTTTTTCCTTGATTTTTAAAATTATTATAGCAGTCTAATTCCGGGGGATATATGATCTATACATATATGCAAGCATGTTTTTTGAGGAGTTTAACTCCCCATGCAAAAATATACGGTTTTACCGCCGGCTGCGCTTTTTATTAATAAAATTAGCTATGCTAATATACAATAATGATTGAATTTTTATATATTAAGTATAAATGTTAATGCTGTAAAGATTATTTATAAATTTTGTTTTGTATAGATGAAATGTTTGCAAGGATGGATTCTGATGGGGACAATATGATAACATTACAAGATTATATGAATAGAGATCGTTATTATGTTGAGTCTGTCAAGGCAGAGTTTAACGATATCGACACAAATGGTTTTTAAGATTTTAAAATCAAAACTAAAAATATTTTAAAAAATTGAAAAGGTGATGGAATGGTTTCTAAGCATGAATTTGATGCTTTTGTTCGTCGATTAGATGAACAGAGGGAGGCGGCAATGCGAAATGCATCCAACTTTACCTTACAGGTCTGATTCTTAGAAGTTTAGAATTTCATTTACACATTTTTATCCATCAATGTCTGTAAGTCGCTTCCCTTTAGGATTGAAGGATCCAGAAAAAATCGTGTTATCTGAAATTTTTTGGTTCAGATAATAGACCCAAATATTCGAAAATTTCCCAACCATAAATTAAATGCAATATACAAAAAAGCACAGCTATCTAAAATACTGTTCACTCGGATTCCTATTTTTATATCCTCTGGGCCCGTAGAATAAATTCGGGGTTAGGTTACCCGAGAAACTTTTCCCCCACAAAACGAAAATAAGAGAAAAATCCTTGCGCCGAAAAAATGAAGAAGAAAAGAAAGAGGAAAAGGATATGGTAGAGGTGGAGGGTAAAATTGTTACACTGCTAAGGGGCAGGGTAGACATTTTATTTAAAGAATTCATAAAAACCGAAATCTCATGGAAAAATTATAAACTTAATATTTTCAGATAGTTTGAAATGTGGAATTTTTTCTTTAAAAATCAATTTATGGCAATTTTTAGCAAAAAAGTACCTCATTTTCTAGTCGTTTTTTAAGGAAAAGTACTACCTTGCTAGAAACTTCATAACTTTTATATAAGTCGGTCAAAATTTTTAATTTTTTGGTAAACCATAGTTAACATTCCAATGTATATTTCAAAAAAATAAAATTTTTATCTCAATTAAAAAAAAGTTAGAATTTTATCCCAAATAGGGGGAATGAGAAGCGGGTAGCGGCGCCAAAACCTTTGTTTAGGGTACCCGGGTACAGAGTTGCGTCGTAATTACGAATTACGAATTACGGCGTTTTTTCTGTTACGAATTACGATTACGAAAAAATTTTTAAAATTACGAATTACGATTTCGAAAAAAAATTTTCAATTACGACGCAACTCTGCCCGGGTAACCTTACCCTTGAATTTATTCTGGCCTAACTACAGTTTCCGTACCAGGCTCAGAATTGGACAATTTATATGTCATTCGAAAGAGCTCGGCGAGCTGAGTCGAATGACACCAAAATTTTTCCGCGGAAAAAATTCTGAGCCGAGATATTGGGCTCGAAATGGTCAAAAACCATAGGGGGGAGTAAGCTCATTTTTGGGGTGAAAAATTCTATTTTACAAATGATAGCTCATTCAAAAGAGCTCGGCGAGCTGAGTTGAATGACATCAAAATCAGCTCGATTGGATGATTCTGAACAAAGTTATGACCAACAGAATCTTCGCTGGAAAAACTGTTTTTGTGCTGCTACGGAGGGTAGGCCGGGCATGGTCTTCGCTACACGATGACCGTGCTTCGCTGCGGTCGTGCTCGCTTCGCTCGCGGCGACCGTAGCGAAGCGGCGGCCGTCGTTCCGCTCGACATGCCCGGCTTCCTCCGCAGCGGCAAATACTTTTTTCCGCGAAAACCTTGTGGAAGGGGTAAAAACAAACGGTCATAACTTTGTCCTATCAAGTCAGATTTCGGTGATTTTAGTGTCATTCGACTCAGCTCGACGAGCTCTTTCGAATGAGCTATTATTTTTATGTTCGAATTTTTCACCCCCAAAAATCAGCTTACTCCCCCCTATGGTTTTTTGAACTTTAGGGGTCTGTAACTCGGCTCAGAATTTTTTCCGCTGAATAATTTTGATGTCATTCGACTCAGCTCGACGAGCTCTTTCGAATGACATATAAATCGTCCAATTCTGAGCCTGGTACGGAAACTGTAGTTTAGCCTTATTCTACGGGCCCTGGGGCTAAAAATTGTATATTAAACCGGTGTATATATTTGGGTGTTAAGCTCCTCCGACCGAGGAGCTGCTTAAGCTACAACGGCTTGACATAAAACTGTCATAACACTCTAGTAAAAATTTATGCCTCACATTATTATTAAAAGCTAAGGAATTAACTTCAGTAAAAATTGAGTGTTAAAACACTCATACAAAAATAGTAGAGACATAAATAGGTATGTATACATAGGTTGTTAGCTTATTTTTCATTTATAAAAAAGTATTTTGAATTAAATATATTAAATAGATAACCTATTATTTAATGTCAAATAAATTATTTAAATTAATCAAAAATGTTTTTCCATTTAATTTAATAAATTCCAAAATGTTTTCTACGCCTATACTTTTCAGAGAAATGATGCAAATAAGGACGGGGAATTGAGTGAAGAAGAGCTTGGGGCCTACATTAAAGGAACACTACAAAGGAATATAGCTAGATTACCTCAAGTTTTTAATCAATTTGATAGAGATGAAAATGGGAAGCTTAATTTGGAAGGTTGGGAGATTAACAGAACCTTCTTTGAAAATTTTCAAAAAATTTTATCAGAATTTCACAATCTCGACTTCAACTTTCCTTGGGAAAAGTTTCCTCTATCTACGGAACAATTACCCCACAATAATCATCAACAGGTCTAATTACTTCGCAATCTTCACATAATTCAAATTATTTTTTAGCTTCCCCCAACATTCTTCAGTGCCAACGGCCCCGTTCCACCTCCCTTTGTTAATGAACAAGCAGCAGCTGCAATCCCTTCTGATTTCAGTTCTTCACCTTCTATGGGAGGGCAGATGCATGCATTGCCTGTTCCGCAACCAATTAGAATTAATTAAATTGTTTAAAAAATTAGATTTAAACAAAATTTGCATTTTGAAAGATCGTAAACGTCGCGGACTGATATTTGCTGACACCTCCAAAATCTCAATTTAATATAACTGTTATAAAATTTAATTACGAAGAATGATTTGTACTTGAGTATGACAAATTATAGTTTTTAGCCTTGTCCTTAATATCAATCCGCATATCTGGCATTCACAAAATAATTGATAAAATATTTTAAATAATTGCTTTAAATTAATTACTTTAAATAAAATGAAAACGCCTAATATTTTAAGGACGCGTAGTTCCTTCTTTTGGATTTCTGAATCCTGATTGATCTTGGTTTTAGGGTTGCCGTTTTCGAGTCGGGCCGACGGTCGAGGCATTTTTTCGGGCTTGTTTTTATCGAGTCGGGCCGATACGAGTCTTTTTTGGGCCAAACATCTAGGCCCGACTCGATCTTTCGGTCCGAGTCGGTCCATTTTGGCAACCCTACTTGGCTTAGAAGCTAAGAAGCCAAAAATTTTATATTCTGCGTTAAGTTATTTGTGCACTAGGCTGCGCTATAAATTATCTTAAAGAAGACAAATTATTACTTCTGATTTTAATTCAATTTTTATAATTTTGATTGACTTTGTAAAATTTACACAAAAATAAAGCAAAATAAAAACATATCTTTCATAATCAATTTCTCAAAAATTTTATCGTTTCTTGATTCCTTTTGAATTTCTATTTGCTCTCTTCTTCAAATAATATCCCCGTTGTTTTTGGCCACAGGGATTACATAAATAATGACCAAGTTCAGAATGACGTCGCCATACTTTTGTTTGTGTAACTCCGCAAATATGACATTGACGATTGAGCTTAAATTAAAAATGCTATCCGGCTAATGCTGCTAGTTGAGCCCTCAAAGCCAATATACCTATTCTTTATTGAAGATCAAATTTTTAGTCAGCCACAAAAATAAAAATTCTTCATTTCTGCCGTCGTTTTTAAAAATTTTTGTCCGGAAGAGTTCACAAAACAAAATTAAGATGTCGGTATATCTCTAAGGTCTCAACCAGGGCTGATCGAAATAAAAATATTTTTTATTTCGAATCGAAACGAAATAAAAAAATTCCTATTTCGTTTCGGAGCGAAACGAAACGAAATGAGCTTGTTTCGGACGAAACGAAACGAAATAAACGAAATAAAATAAATATTAAAAAATATTTATTTTTCAGTTCATAAAGGCTTTTAATCGATATTTAAATCATAAAAATGCACCCCAAGAACTAGATGCGTGACAAAAGCAACCCTAAAACAAGAGTGGGCCGTACAAATCTGCCGATATCCTTAATCCCCTTAAATTGACATATATCCGACTTAATCCTCCGATATCCTATTAAAATCCATCGATATATCGAAATTCACTTTGGAGTATATCACTTTAGATATCGAACAAGAGAGATATTAAGAGGGATAAACGAGATATCTTCTATATCCCTTGGGATATCATCTATATCCGTTCTATATCCCCCTCTCAAAACCACCGATATTAACTTAATACATCAAATCCAAATATACACAAAATCTCCCGATATCTCCTTAACCACAATATCCCGTTAATCTCGCCAATACTCCAATAACAATTAATCTTGCCAAATCTCCCGCAATATCACTAATCCCTCGAGATCTCTTTGAATCCTCCGCACAATGGAATAAAAATTTTAGTCGGCAGGCCAGGTAGT